AAAATATTGAAATAAAAAAAAAAAAAAAGAAGTTAAACAAGATGGGTACAAGGCCCATGTTACTCATACCCGCCTTGGGGCCGACCCGATTACCCAATCAAGCAGGTGATCCTTGCCCCTTTTGGGGCTCAAGACACAAGTGGAAATTACACAAGTGCAGGTGATCCTCTCTCTCTCTCCGTGTATCTCATTTTCTCTCTCACCTCTCTCAACCATCGGTTTTCTCTCTCTCTCTCTCCTCAATGAAGACCACCGTAAGCTCGTCGCTGGACGAAGACAATGACGCCTTTGCAACGCTTGGCGAGAGACGATGTTGCCATTGTCGTTGATGCTGCTTCTGCCTGTGTAATTGATTTTGCTTGTGTAGATCTAGTGGTGCTGACGGCAATGGAGGTGACAGGTTTGGAGTTTCTTTTTGTTGGATGGTGATTGTGATGTGGTGGAGATCGAGGTGGTAGTAGGCGGCGATTTTTTGTGGTGGAGTGTTGAATTTTTTCTTTTTGTTGGATGGTGGTTGTGATGTCATTCTTCAACGGCGTTGTAGTAGTTTCAAATCCCATGTTGTAGCGGTGGTGACAATGTGACGACGGTCGCTGCAGTCGCAACTCAGGTGTTATGTCGAATCTTGTTTGGTTTTGAATGTGACGAATCTGGTGGTGAACTAGCGGTGACTATTGTGGTTGACGAGTGGAGATGGTGGTGAAATGAGAGTTGGAAGTGCAGCATCTGGATTTGGTGGCAACAAGGGGGGTGGATCTGATGGCTGTGACAGGGGTGGAGATGGTAAGGCGGTGCTATTTGCGGTGCTTGAGATTACAAGGCTGGTCGTGACTGGGTGTTGGTTGGAAACTGTGGTTGTGGTGGTGGCGGAGATGGTGAAATGGTGATAACGTTGTGGTGATGGCTTTTGTGGGGTGTTGGCTTTGTATGTGTTTTGTTGGTGGGGAGGTGGTGTTAGTTGCGGCATTCGAGATGACGATGCTGTCGGGAGATGGTGACGATGGTATTGGCGGTTGGAGTTTTGTTGGCGATGTGGCTGATGGTGGTCACAAGTGTTTTGATTGTTTGTGATCAAGAAATTGGTGTATATGACTAACCATTTAGTTATCTGTGATCAACTGTTTAAATGTAACCCTAAATTTTGACAACCTATGACCAATTAATTTGACTTCAAAATAATGTGACTTGTATATTTTTTATCCATGACCTCGAAATAATTTGGCAACCTTTGACCAATTAATTTGACTTCAAAATAATATGTGACATGTAAATTTTTTATCCGTGATTTCGAAATAATTTGTGATTTACAAAATTTTTAATTTGTGATCTTGAAATAATTTGTGACAAATTAATTTGATGATATGTGATAAAAAAAAATAAAAAAATTGTTACCTATAATTATCATATTCGTGACAATTAATCAAGTAACTGTGACTTTCTTTTATTTAGTTAATAAATATTTTCAATTAATTATATAAATACTTGAATTTTGAATTTTTAAACTATTTATCTCATTTATGAATTGATACAAACAATACACCTCATTTATGAATTTTTCCCTTGACCCAAGGGTGGACCCATGAAGGTCCCATTGAGCCCTTCATTTTTTACATTTATAAAGTAGTCCACATAATTTTTAGTAATAATTTTAACCCATAATTTTTACATAATTCTGTCTTGTTCCCACCGAATTATATTCTTGAGTCCACCCTTGATTTGACAGGTATTTTTGTGTCATCCCTAATCAAATGACAATTTATGGGAAATAAAAACTGAAAACGTCTCAGTGCACAGAAAGTAGTGCGCTGAAATAATAACAAAGGTTCTACAACTCGGAGAATTTGCATTTTTCCATAAAAAAGAAGCAATGCAGAAATCAAGAACCGCTGGATAAATTCTTGGAGATGATGAACATTCAATGAGGTAACAGGGTGCATTTTTAACATCCCTTATCATAACGCACATACCGAGGTATATGCCTAATGTAAGAAATGGTACAACTCCCTAAGAATGCCTTTCTATTCATCTCACAACTCCCTTTATAAACCAGTTAGTGCTCAACTCTCTACTCAGGTCACCAACCAATTCTCATCTAATTATCCAGCTCAGTGCTTGATTACACAGCTAAATTAAGAATGCCGACCACCGTGGAGGATGTCACTGCAAAGGCTGAGATGTTGGAGATAGAACCCAAGAGTGGGGTTGATTTGAAGCCAACCGTAGTCGACCATAAGGACAATGAGGCCGAACCCAAGATTGAACTCAATGGGGATGGTTCTGTGGAAAAGAAAGGAGAAGAGAACAAGAAAAACAAGGCTAAGGTGGATGAAGTGCCAGTGCCTGATGAAGTTGAAACCAAAACTGGGATTTCTTTTCCAGGTAAGTTGGATGATGGGAAGCTGCTGAAAGCTGTTGGTTTGAGAAAGAAGAGCATGCTTGGCATGGGCATCAAAATTTACGCCTTTGGTAATCTACTACTTCTCCACCTACCTACGCAGTACGCACTCAATGTTTTACATATCTTGAATCACATATATTATGTTGTTCCCAGGATACTAGAACATGCATGATTTATCTGAGGCCAACGACTTAAGGTTGTTTGCTCGAAAATAAATTTTCTTCCTTAAATACTAGCCATCATGTCAGGATAGAACGATTTTTCTTCACACAGGGAGAAGCATCTCAATCACTAATTGACTGAAAAGTATTGTATGCTGATTTCTGCAATTGTCGAATTGCAGGGATATATGCAGACAATGAGAAACTGAGAGAACTTGAAACAACAGAAGTTGGGAAAGCACCGTCCAAACCAACAAAGGAAATGTATCTGATGGTGGTTGACAGTAATGTAGGAATGATGGTACAATTGGTTATTGTTTACTCCGGCCTCACCATGAACATGGTAAGGAAGAACTTTGACGAAGGCCTTGGAGCAGCCATCAAAAAGCTCACTGGTGGAAAAAATGAAGAACTCACCAAAAAGTAATTCCACTCTTTTCACATATATAATCACCCCACCCCCACTCACCAAAAACACCCATCCAATCCCCACTCTCTCTCTCCCCACACAGAGAGTCTTACCTACTCTATCTGTTTGCTAAAGGATAATGGGTGAAGCATCAGACGAGATAAAGCTCACGCCGGGTTCGACTATTGAGATATCTAGGCTTCCGGGATACACTCTCCAAACAAAAGGTAAAGAGATCGTAAATTTTCATCAGCTGATTAAAAAGTATGAACCTTCAAACATCTATATTATGGAAAATGCAGTTATGGGTGACATTGTGAGCACAGTTGAAAGCGAACTACTCTGCAGGGCTTACATTTACATGTATTTGGGGGAAGATCCCTTCGACAAAGAAGCCAAGGAAAAGTTTGGGACATCCCTTTTTTCTCTTTTCTAAGGACTTATCTAGGTGAATAAGACACAAGTTTACTCTGTAGCACCTAATAATTGATGAATAAGAAAAGTGATAATGAGAAAGATGTTCTGGAAAATCCTAGTAATACAAGGTTTCAGTGCTTTGAAAGTAGCTCTGGAAATATGTACCAAGCTACCAATATCTGGTCATTCCTATATATAGAACGAACATATTATATATGCACGTGCATGAATTATATCTACCTCAAATTTTAACTGGAAAATCAACTTAAAGAACAGCCACCAAAGAGTATTATCATATCTAATTTTAGAGACAGGATGAACATACTTTTCTTTTTCAAGTTAAATACGGAAATAATATGGCATATCCTCATAATCGCTAAATGAAAAATTAAGAAGCTCACTGAATAAACTTTGCATTTTCCTACTATCATTTGAATATAAAACAAAATGACTAATATTATACATAACTCACAATGCTGAACTCAGTATGATCAGCTGATGCCATGAAATACTTTTCTTTTTCAAGTTAAATACGGAAATCATATGGCATATCCTCATAATCGCTAAATGAAAAATTAAGAAGCTCACTGAACAAACTTTGCATTTTCCTACTATCATTTGCATATAAAACAAAATGACTAATATTATACATAACTCACAATGCTGAACTCAGTATGATCAGCTGATGCCATGAAGGACTTTTCGAGGATCCAATTGTCCACTGCAGTAACTCGAGGACACAGTTGACAGCTCTTGACGGCCCTTCCACTCTTCAGAGGGTTTCAAGATGACTGCGGTTTCAATAGCAGCAGAATCTACACATAACATAGTTTTGTAGTCCTCATCAGCTAAATCTGGAAGAGCCTTTGCTTTTTTGTCCCAAGGGTTCCATACAACTGCACATCATGGTCAAACAAATTGCAGCTGTAGTACACACATACAAGCAACTAAGTAAAACTATAAACCTGAAAAATAATATGAAAATTAGATACAAACCTGCATCTGGCATTCCTTCTTTACGCAGTACATAGGTTCTCTTCTTCTCATGGTCTATTATGGCTATCTTTGTTGGTGTGCTCAAATACACCCTATCAATCTATAAAGAAACAGAAAACAAGCTTACAAATGTTTGAGTAGTGTAAGTTCCAAAAGACCCATACATGCAGAACCGTCTAAGTGTTAGGTATAACAAAGGACAGTACTGAATCAGGATAATGCATCTACCCCAACGTGATCCTGACATGGCAAAAAAATACTGGAAGAATGCAAGACAGTACCTCGCCGTCAAAGGTAATTGCATCTGCCTGCTCTGTATATCTTCCTTTCTGCAACAAATTATCGAGGTAGTCAAGTGTCTCCAAGCCCTCCACACGTACTTCACTGCAAATCAAACGGTGTCATGGACCCTATCTGAAAAGGATAATAAACAATCTAACAGATTTAACATTGAAAAAAGAAAGGGAATTCCTCATCAAGATAAAACAAATAACATAAGTATGCTATGCAAACTGGCAAAGAAATAACTTAACAAAAGATTAAAAGTGGATTAGTAATAACATAGTTTAACCTAGTAAGGAAGAATAACTTGTAATGAGGCAAACCTGATATCAGATACAGATAGGTAATTACACAAAGCAAATGTGAATGAAAAGGCCTTGCTATCAGTATTTCGCACTCGAGGAATCAAGGTGAGCTTGTTGGTACTCAGAGAAACTCGTAACCGCAACTCAAATCTTCAAAAAGAACCAGAAGAAGCTTGAAGCTTAGATAAGAATTTCCCATACTGCCATATATACCGTATCTTTCACATCCTTACCTGTGTGGCCAAGTCTTCAAATCCTCTTCTGTGGATTTCAGAATAAGATCCACAGTAGAGTGATTATTAGCTGGGGACAAAGGCAAAGGGGAATCATCTAATGACCATAGTCTATTCCTTGCAAATCCATGTTGCTCCAGTGAACCAAAGTTGTAAAACTACAATATGAAGTAACGATAAGAATCAGTAGCTCCAGCCTCCAGTCCATAAGGTGTAGAAGTTTTTTTCTAGTTAAAGTTGGTAGTTAACCTGGGGAAAGCAAATGGGAATACCGCCCCTGATGGACTTAGGTGGTTTCGATAAAGCCTGCAGGATAGAGAAAGATGTATATTTATCATTGATTATAGAATTTCTTGATAAATAGAATAGAAAGATGCAAAAACTAAAAAAAAAAACCCCCAATCCTTTTTTTTTTTTTTTAGCCAAGTAATAAAGTAGTTTATTCTTTCACAAAAAGTAAATAACAGTAATGAGAATTGGAGTTGAAAGAGAAATGAATGGTAACATACTTTTCGACGAACCGTCCCTGGATCTGGGAAAACAAAATTGTGGAAAAGGTAAAATGTCAATGCTTTCGATACCAATCAATGACATATTTACACTAATTGTGTAATGAATGGGCGGCAGTTCCATGAAAATTCAATTACATGTAGTAATCTCTATCCATTTTAGGTGTGAAAAGAACTTGCTTTGCCACCTTAAAGCTCCTACCCAAAAAATGCGTGGACACACATTAACACAAAATTGGGATTCATCCGTCCGAATGTCAGATTTCAGTTTTGAATATCTACTCCAAAAGACTTTAAATCAGTTGCCTAAAACATAATTACTAGATCTCAAACACTCCAACAAAATAAGTTTACCTTATTGCTCCTGAAAAGCAACTCTTCTCTTCGTTCATTCTTCCAAGAGATAACTTGTGCACCATATAGAAGCACCTAGGGCAACAAATGAACATGAGTCAAATATTTCATTTAAAATTTTGTAGTATAATCAAAATAATAGCAGTTTGTGGGCTGAGCATCTAGCATGGAAGTAATTATTTAGAATTGTATATCATAAAAAAAAAAGAAAAAGAAAAAAAGAGAGCATATATACGTGAAAAGAACAGTGCGAGCAATTGCAGTTTTAATGAATCACAACAAAATAATCAAACTAAAACACAACATGAAATACAAACTCAATTAACTTATTCCAGTTAGTTTAATACTAACCAAATTATAAGGCTGAAATAAAGAAAAGGAAAATAAAATAAAATCGACAAACCTCAGCTGTTGAACCAGTGGGCTCAATCAATATAATCCGAGGCGATCGATCACCTTCCTCAATCATGTTCACCGGCATCCTAATTTTCTCTCTCAAAATCCTACCAATTGGGTTTGCTTTTCCTTTCCTCCTCACCAGCTGTACACAAAAACACACAAAATCAAAAATAAATATAAAACAGAGACACGTAGAGAACTAAGAGAAGAAATCAAAACGGTATGCCCTGTCTCATATTATAATAATGCTGTAAACATAATACAACAAAATAATTGAGCACAAAAATTTAGGGAAAAAAGGAAGAGATGAAAGTAATAATCATACGAGCACAAAAATGTATAAGCAAATAATTTAATAAAGAATCGGTTTCGAGTTTGAAGAACAGGCCACCAACTTCGAGCTTACGACGTACATATTCATAATATAGTACAAATTACAACATAATCTATAATCAATAGATTAAGGAAATTCATACAGAAATTTTTGATAAATTGCGATGAATTTATTATGAGTACGAAACCTACAAGTGATTCTTGTCATCGGATTCTTTGTGGATTATGGTCCATTTAAGCTAGCAATTGGACCTACTAATACTAGCTTTATTTGGAATTTTGGCGGCTTCTAGCCAGCCAAAGCAGGTGACCCCACAAACGCCGACCTTTTTTTCCGGTTGTTGGCGTAACCTCCCAATATTCTTACTCACTGGGTCCCACGAGCCTGAAAATATCCAAAAAAAAATTCTATTTGTACATAATTATTATAGATAATGATGTCCATAATGTGACGTGGCAATCATCCTGCTGTTGATATGAAAGTGTGAGATTTAAATTAAAGGTTGGAACCAGTACCACATGTAATTATGGGCATTATAATGTATATTTACATGTAGGACTTCCCAAATATCCAATTGTCTGATTTTTATAAAAACCAAAATTTTAGTAAATTTTAATTAATTTGATTAAGTCCAAGTTTGTTTGGATATAATCTGAATTAAAATTTTAATCAAAATTAACAATTAATTTTAATCATATGTTTTATGAAATTTATAACTTTTCAACCATTTATTTCATCAATTTTTATCAAAACTTACTAAAAATATTATTTTAATTCACACCAAATATGAGATAAATATGTGACTGATAAAAGCAGTGAATTTCATAAAATTTATTGTTTAAATGATTGAGTAAAAACGAGTTTTAAGAAATGAGAGTCAAACAAGAACTGAGTATACATTTGGCAAAGTTTTCAAGTGTTTGTAAGTAGGCGATCCGCAAAATATGCGAGTTAATGAATGGTAAGTTATGAATTATATAAAATGTATGAATAAAATTATCATGACAAATTAAAATAATTTAAACTTTGCCAAACATGTTAAATCCAGTTGTATAGTTTAAAAGATTATACAATTACCTAAATGATAAACGGTATTTTGTATTTAAGATATGTTTTATAGAGTTGAATATGATTAAAAGATACATCATAAAACTCGTAATTTGCTTTGTTCAATAGAAATTTATTTGTAGACGAACGCAAAGTAGAATATCTAACGAAATACAAACATCATTTTCTTGTATGTCTATGTTTGATACTTCGTCTCAGACTACTCATTTCATATAGCATAACTAACTTTTCCCCCAAAAGAATTCACTTATTTCCAAAATCAGTTCCATAGGATAAATTATTTAGAGAATCTTAAAAATCAAATACATTTTTACTTAAATTAATTCCATGGATAAATGTGAAATGTAAGAAACAAGACACCCATGGCATCTTATGCAACTGATCAGTCTTGTACAGAATATTTCTAAACCGACGCTTCTTATCATTAGCTACTTTTCTCGTTGATAAGATTAATCGAATAAAATTGTCACTTAATAATAAAGAAAAAATCCATAAAAATGTACCTAAGCACATTCTCAAGGATTGTTGTAGAAATAGTGGGAGTCTGTTCGTAGGAAGGGGGGAAAATCTGAAAATTGACTTGACCCTATTTGATCGGAATTAAAATAAGATTTTGAACAGATTTTTGTAAAAGTTGATAAAATACGTAGTTGAAAAATTGTACGACTTATAAAGTATGTGATTAAAATGATTTGTTGACTTTGATTTAAATTAAAATCCAAATTTTAATTGGTGTCAAACAGGGACTTAGTACGCAACCATGTATCTGGGATAAAAATTATAACAATGCTTGTCTGCAATANATTGACTTGACCCTATTTGATCGGAATTAAAATAAGATTTTGAACAGATTTTTGTAAAAGTTGATAAAATACGTAGTTGAAAAGTTGTACGACTTATAAAGTATGTGATTAAAATGATTTGTTGATTTTGATTCAAATTAAAATTCAAATTTTAATTGGTGTCAAACAGGGACTTAGTACGCAACCATGTATCTGGGATAAAAATTATAACAATGCTTGTCTGCAATATTTAAACAAACATTTAAATATTCATTCAATTGTTCTCGTGATATTTAGGCCCTATTTGATATAAAAAAATTTCCACAGAAAATGGAAAAAGTTTTGCATTTTCCAACTTTTTACTTGTTTGATGGCATAAAATTTCCATGGAATTCATTTCCCCCCTCACACGTACTTCTCTTGCAGAAGGATTAGAGCAAAAGCATGAGAATACCAATTTGCTTCCCGTCTGCAGAGCCAAAGACTCAGAAACTGAGCCACTCAAAAGATGTTTACAAAAAAGTACAAAAACGACGTGTGTTCTACCAATGGTTCAAAATGATGTCGTTTCCAGCTTTTTTTTTTTTTTTTTTTACTTTTTTGCAATAGAAATAAATTCTATCTACAATTGTAATAAGTTGCATCCCTTTAACTGAAAACAAAGCCTAATGAATACCAAAAGATCCAAAATTTCAACATTTTTCAAGTGAAAAATTATACCATTCAAAAATATTTAATTGACAATTTCCAATAGAACAAGTTCCATGCCATTTAATTCTCTTGAATTCGTTTTCTTTCCACTCAAATTTCATTCTTACAATCAAATGGACCCTTAAATCAATAAATTTTAATTCCATATATATATAGAGAGAGAGAGAGAATGAGAGAGAGAGTAACATAGCAAAATCAATGAATTAATACAACTTATGGGCAAAAATTTTGGAACTATCTAAAAAGTTGACCTTCAAAACTTTCCGGGGAGGCTAATAGGATGGCACAATCGGGGAAACAAATGGAGACGAGTCAATAGAGACAGCAGTCAGGGAAGTTTTCGTTAAAGTTCAAGTCAGTGAACTTTGTCAAGACAAAATGTAACCTAAAATACACCACAAAAAAAGATCCTAAACCACACTGAGCCGATCAATTCAATGCACAAGGACCCTAGACGAATTACGATCCCTAATCCCAGCAAGCAGAAACCGAATCGCACACACTTTTCTTATAAGGAATTAGAGCAAAAGAACAAGAACGTAAACTAAAAACCAAAGAACAAAATATAAATGTACTAAACAAGATATAATAACAGTTCCTACCCAAAACCATCAATTTCATACAATTTATATGCCCAAAAAACTACCTTAAATGAAGCCAATCAATTAAATACACATGGACTCTAAATGACTTACGATCAAAAATGAAATGAAGACCCGAATCCCAACAAGCATGAACGAACTCACACGTACTTCTCTTGCAGAAGGATTAGAGCAAAAGCATGAGAATACCAATTTGCTTCCCGTCTGCAGAGCCAAAGACTCAGAAACTGAGCCACTCAAAAGATGTTTACAAAAAAGTACAAAAACGACGTGTGTTCTAACAATGGTTCAAAATGATGTCGTTTTTGGGTGCACAATATGACGCCGTTTGGACGAAAGTTTATGAACAGTAGGGGCCTCATTCATTTTTATTTTTTTTTCATATGATAATATACGTCATTCCCTAGTGTTCTAATCTTAATGATATTGCATACAATGAAAACACATGTGACGAAGAACTGTATTCCAATGTTTACTTATGCAAGATGAAAATAAACAGCAAGAAATGCTGAACAAAGCAAAAATGGTGAAAAAACTTTACCTGGCTGGATCTGCTATCTGCATATAATGCAAACAATAATTTATCCATAAGGTTCATCAGTGAGGCGTGCACCCGACCCTTGGAATTAATGTAACAGTAACTAAGGTTAATTGAAAAATAACAGTACCATCACAAATTAAATATTGAAAACAGTCTATAAGTTAATATGGCAGAACTTGTACACGCAACAACTGCGACATTAATTATTTAAGACACTAGGAGCATCAATGAAGATGCTGTAAAACATCTCAAGAGGACATGTGATGTGCTCGATTGAAATGCGAATTCTACCTACCTGTACACTATGATACAAGTGAAAGCATTCAAAACTACAAGTCTGATATGACTAAATTAATATGGTCATAGAGAACTGATCCCAAGATGAACACGGATTCAATGGTTAATTCTGGCATGAATATAAACTTCTCCCTGGTTTATGAATTTATTAAACTTCACACAGTCCAAACTCTTGTAAAAAAAAAAAAACTACAAAAAAGAAATAAAAAAAATCATAAATATGTTTTCCTTTTAACCGCCGAAGGTTGATACTTACGGAAAAAAAAGATAAAGTATGTTTAAAATTGATGCACATTCCAAGAAGATATAAATTTCAAATAAATATACCATAACAATATAGAATTGCGTAAATGATAACAAGATTCATTTCATTTTGACCACTGATCTAATAGCAATGGGATTAAGCAAATGGAAAATGAGAAACTGAAAAGTAGTAGTCATAAAATTGGAAGACTTATCAAAACTTATAAAACAGGTAAGATAATAAACTGAACATATGTGCGGGCCATAAGAAAAATGAAAAATTCATGGAATGGAGATTCTCAAGAACTGCCCCTTCAAAAACTTGTAGATGTTATAGATACATAGTCAGAGTAAAAAACATGATCTCTCTTCACTTGAGCTCACATACAGTGAATTTCTTAGTGACGAGCTGGAAAGGAGGAAGACTGCATGCAGCTCCCAGAACAATTCTTCTCACCATCTAACAGACAGCAATAAAATCTGGTTATCACCAATTACCAGTTATTTTTCGTTCATGATCAACACTAACAATTGTTGCATTGATTGCGTGCTGGTGGCCTCCAACACAAGAGCAACCAGTAACAAGTACTTGGTCCTTCAAACACTAGATTTCTATCTGCTCTTTAAAATTCTCCATCAGAACTGGACCACAAACACCATATCTACTGTCTCAGTCGTTATGAGTACAAACAAACAAATAGGAACCAGTCAATTCATCCTGCACTCCAGAAGTCCAAGGCTTAACATTCACAAGCACGTTCTCGACAAAGCCATCCACATGAGTTTCACCAGTATAAAATTAAGTTGTCACATTAACTAGCACAGTCTCAGAGAAAGTTTGAGAATAGCAGTCATATTAATAGGAGAAATTTAGTAAACCCAGAGAAGTTGTAGAAAAATCAGATACTGAAACTCACACAGCATGACTCAACCACGTAAACTGGGATATTCTTTTAGAACTAAAATGAGCAGTTGGCCTCTGCAATTTGTCACCAGTAATCCCCACAAGAACAGGATCCATCTCTAAAATGGTGGAAGCGGTTGATGTCTCTAATAATGATTTCCCGTGAAACAATTTTACAAATATACTTGAATGCTGTATGGCAGTCCAAACAGATTCGGAGGTTCTTTTTCACACGAATTGGAGCTCCTGGTGGGGTGGCAATCAGTGCAAAAGCTACTGCAAGTTTTTCACTGTGGTACGAGAGAAGAAGTTCCTTCTCTCTCTTTCCCACATCATGGAGGTCAATCTCTATCATAGGAACATATCCAGCTTTGGCCATTAAGTGGCCCAACTCCTCAAGTTTTGCATATATCTCTTCACGTCTAGAGTGGCTTCTATCTCCAACTATAAAAGTGTATATTTTGTCTTTTACCTCTATCCAACTCATACCTGGCTCCTTCTTCACTTTACTGTTTTTCATCAATCTTCTAACTTTAGCAACATTTTCCCATGATCCTGCTGAGGCATAAATATTTGCAAGAAGAACGTGAGTACCAGATTTTTCTGGTTCAAGAGTGAAGAGCATCTCAGCAGCATGTTGGCCCAGCTCTATATTTTTGTGAATCCTTGCAGCACCAAGAAGTGCCCCCCAAATGGAGGCATTAGCTTCAAATGGCATCTTATCTACGAGATTCATTGCGCCATCCAACTTTCCTGCTCTGCCAAGAACATCAATCATGCATGCATAATGCTCTGGTGTAGGTTCAATTCCAAATTCCTCTTTCATTGTCTCAAAATATTTTTGGGCTTCGTCAACTAGACCAGCATGATTACATGCACAAATAACACTAACTAATGTTACATGATTGGGAGATACACCATCCTTTAACATCTCATCAAATACCTGTAAGGCCTCTTTACCATGCCCATGTTGTGCGAGGCCCCCAATCATTGCAGACCATGAGACGACACCTCTATTGGGAATCTCGTAGAAAGCACGACCAGCCTCCTCTAAGCTACCGCATTTGGCATACATGTTGACAAGAGAATTTCCAGAAAAAACATCGGACATAAATCCAAGTTTCAATACATGAACATGAATTTGTTTCCCCTGTTCATATGCTGATAAAAGTGCAGATGCATTAAGGAGAGAACTGCAAACAAATGAGTCTGGCTTAAGATCCATCTCCAGCAGATTCAAATAAAGCTTCAAAGCTTCTTCGCCTTGTCCATATTGAGCATAAGCTGTAATAATTGAAGTAAAAGATGGCAAATCTGGATTAGGACATTCTTCAAAAACTCTCGAAGCATCACCCACATGGGAGCATTTTCCATATGAATCTATAAGACTGTTTAGAACGAAGTTATCAGATTGATACCCTGACTTTGCAATAAGGACGTGAATTTGTCTACAGACATTGACATTTTGCAAGCCAGCAGTTGCATTGAGGACTGCTAGTAAAGTTGCCGGGTCAAATTCCATTCTTTGGTTGTACATTTCGGCAAATAGGTTTACAGCTTCTCCATCTTCCCCATTCTGCGAGTATCCAGAGATCATGGCATTCAGTGCAATCAAGTCCATTTCTGGCATCAAATTATAGAGAATCTCTGCATCCTTCATCAAACCACACTTGCAATACATGTCAATCAGACCAACACTCACATGTGAATCCATCACTGAATCCATTTTTATTAAAATGGAGTGTAACTGTACACCCATTCCTTGGAGACCCAGTGCTGAACAAGATTTAAGAGCACTTGATAGCGTGAACATATTTGGGCATAGTCCCGATCTTTTCATCTGAACCAACAATTCCAAAGCCCTGTAATAATATTCATGAAATACACAACCAGATATAAGAGCATTCCATGAAACAATATCAGGTTCAGCAATATTTTCAAAAACTGCTATCGCATCTTCTAGAACCCATGCCTTTGCGTACATATCAACAAGTGCATTTGATGAGAATGGATCACTCTCATATCCAAGTTTCACCAAATAGCCATGAATCTTCTTCCCCTGATTAATATCTCCTAGTCCAGTTGCAGCATTCAATATAGTTGACAGGCTAAACTCATCAGGCCTACTTCCACTACAAACCATTTCTTGAAACAACCCCAAAGCTTCCCTAAAAGAATCACTCTGTGTATAACAAGAGAACACAGCATTCCAAGAAACCACATTCCTTTCAGGGATTTCATCAAACAGCCTCCTGGAATCCACTAAGTAACCACATTTCGCATATACAACTACTAAAGTATTCGCAACATAAACATCGGATTCAAACCCAGTGACCACCACAACCCCATGAACTTGATTCCCAAGGACAAAATCCTTGGTACTTGCGCAAGCCTTGAGTATGCTAGGAAAGGTAAACTCGTTACACTTAATTCCCATTTTATGCATTTCGCAGAAAGCCAAAAGCGCTTCTTTACCAAGGCCATTCTGCACATATCCGGATATCAAAGACGACCAAGAAACCAAGTCTGGTTCGGGATTTTCCTCGATCAGCTTCCGGGCATATCGAAACAGTTTACATTTCGAGTACAAGCTGACAAAATGATTCCTGTGTGCAGGGTCTTCGGATAACCCCATTTTGGTTAAGTGGGCGTGGAGTCGGAGACCGGGGTTAAGGGACCTGGCTTGGGAAAGCTGTGATAATAGCTTCGAGTAGGAAACACAGGTTGATAGAAACTTTCCGGTCAGAGTGGAGAGTTCTAATGGTAGGTAAAGTTTCAGATTTTTTTGGAGACAATTTTGGCGCCAAAGATTCATCGTAGTCCATTTGCAAATTAAGCGAACTTCATGTTCAATGTTATTTTCAGACTGTTTGGGGAAAATGGAGCAAGATAAAAATATACGTGATTGCAGAATTTTGAACCAAAATCAAAACTTACCTTCGGGAATTTGCAGCAAAGTAGCACTACCAACGAACTTGGGTTAATGGGTACGTGGAGGTGCACACTTCAGGGACGACTGTGGCTCGGGTGAAGCAGCCAGATGGACTGCACACTGGAAACAGCAAGGAGGCGGTGGCTCCTATTGCGCAATTGCAGCTATAGCCTGGTACGCCGCCGTTGAACAATGAAGCGGAGTTGGTTTATGACGGGTTCATGCCTTCATGGTGGATGGACCGGAATGGGGCCAACTAATGTTCCGGTTGGGCCAACTCCCATTAATCTGCAATGAAGGCATTTCTGGAAAAATTGAAAAATATTGTATTCCCCAAAGATTTATATTATTTGCACTTGCTCGCTGTCATAGTTGTCTTATATGGCATACATGTTTGATGCACTAATATGGTAGTATTTTTATTGCTTTATGTTTAAAATTACTAACAGTCACATGTATGTCACATAAGATGACTGTAGTAATAAGCGATTATAAATAAAATTATTCTTTCCCAAAATAGTTGAAAACACTCGCACTATTATCCGGATAATTGGGAAATGCAGTAAACAGCTATTCTTTTCTTAATTCATGTTCCAACGAAGATTAGTAGTATGAAAGTTTTGATATTGGTAACGGTTTTGGATAGGTTTGAGGATGGAATTTGTTGAAAGTAGTGGTGATTTCGTAGGGATTATGCCTCATGGTGGAGAGATTTTATTGATTTTGCATAGTGTTTGGGTTATGTGATTTGTGCAAAATGGGTATCGATAGATCATGTAATATGTATAAATTGGAGCTGATTTTCCTTGGGGGTTGGAAGAATTTTATTAGTTGTTCATTTTTTTTATTTAATTTGAACCTATGTGTATGTGTGTGTATAAATTATAATCTCTCCGTTTTGAACAATATGGAGCCTTTCATAGTTTGGCATACATCTCGAAACACAAATAATAAGAGTGGAATGCAACGTCGAGAGGATAATAACTACAAATCAATAAACAATAAGGGTGTGTTTGATTACATTTATTTTCCATGAAAAATATCAGTTTTTCATCTAAATTCTTACTTGGAGTGTTTGATTGCTATTTTTTTCCATGGAAAACATTTTCCAACTTTTGAAAATATGCGTAATTTTCCTTGTTTTTAAGGAAAATATTTTCCTTGGGTAGAGGTGGTTTTTATTTTCCACAAAAGATGGAAAATATTTTCTTTTTTAGGTGATATTTTCCATGTCAATCAAACACACTCTAATATCATTTCGAATTTTGGTTGCCTTCCAATTGGTTACTTGGGGAAAACATACATTAAAAATGACATAAGATTTGATTGGACTTATTTTTGCTAACTATGAATGAATATTGAATATAACTATGTCGACTCCATGAGTATCTTAACCCTGCATATAACAGTTCTCAATCTTTTAAAATAAATGCTCCCTCCGAATATGAGTCAAGTCTTAAAACATTTTATCATGTTATATTTTCTTGGAGAGTGCATGAGAATTCAACGTGGAGACTTGAGATTGGCCTGCTTGGATGGATTAAGTTTTTAGATTTTCATCCATGTCCAAAAGTACGCCTTTCTCTTTCTCATATGGATTATGCTATTGTGACGATGCCCCCTCCAATAAGGGGGCGCCACATAGGCACTGCATCACAAGGGCGTGTCACAACCCTTGGTCGTTTATCAAAACCCTTCTCATATAATATAGGTGGCATTGATATCTTCAATTGAGAATAGACAAAATGCTGTTGTAAAAAAGCTCATAATTCCAAAAGAACAAGTAAATTGTGTTGGAATTGGTTCAAAAATAATCGAAAATTGGTCAAGTGTTAAAGTGAAAAATGAAAATGTGTGCCTTCGTATCAATTTCAACTAAATATTCGGACTTGATCCGATGTCAAATTATAAAAGTAAATGGACCAACTTATTCTACTCGTCGAGTAGATCATTATGGTATATTTGAAATCTTGAAATCAATTTCGGATAAATGAGAAATTGCGATCCAAAATAAAGTGTTGCAACTTTTCGAAAGAATATATGTTTTGGCCAAGTATTGCAACTTTTCAAAAGGATACATGTTTTGGCCAACATTATTTCATTTTCACTATTTCTACATCTATAAATAAGACCATATGGACATAATTTTGGATACACCAATTGTATTGAGCACCCATTCTTCTCTTGCAATTCTCTCATTTCTATCTCTGTAGCATTTTCGTGCATTTCCTTTGTAGAGGGGAAAGTTTGTTGTGGCTTGAAATGCTGCTACCACAAGTTGTGAATTCACTGTATCTTGGAAGACAAGCGTCATTCACCATAAGCACAGTAGTTGGACAATTTGTCTTAAAGAAAGAAATAACGTCTCGCCGTGGATTATTCTCTATTTTTTACTCCTTAATTCTTATTTTGCGTAATCGTTTACCACATTTATGTATACCGAAATTTTGTCCAAATTTTCGTTCATATAAATTGTGTTTTGATCACGCTCTTGCAGATTAAAATTGATCGAACAAATATATCAAAAATCAATCTTTACATAACCCGTTTGTATAAGTTGTCTCCAACAAATTGTTTGTTAGACAGTTTCTTACAGAGTTTTGGAAAGGACAAAAGANTTTACATAACCCGTTTGTATAAGTTGTCTCCAACAAATTGTTTGTTAGACAGTTTCTTACAGAGTTTTGGAAAGGACAAAAGATCATTTAGCATAGCCAGCTGTGCAAAAATATCAGACAAAAATATGGGACCTTAAATGAAGAGTTGTGCGGACGAGTATTTTTGCTGATTGATTCGTGTCCATAATTTATAGCTTAAAATCAAGAAAAATAAGAGAAGACAGAATTATCTAAGATGGACTCAGTTTTCTGTGATGAGTTGGTTCGAGAAATCTTCCACCGCCTTCCGCCGTCGTGTTCGGCCACCCTCTCCCTCGTTTGCAAGCGGTGGCTCCGCCTTCTCCGGTTATCCACCTCCTCCCTTACTCTTTACTTCAGCCCACCTTCATACAATTCCGCCACCATCAGATCACTTTCCTCTTTCCTCAGCCAACACACTTATCTTTTTTGGCTCTCTCTTACACTCCCCACCGACTGCGCCACCGCTACTGCCGATCATGTCCTCCGTTATACAGCGTCATCTTGCCCCAATCTCCGACACCTACAATTCATGAGTGCACCAGTCTCGCCCTTTTCTCTGTTCCATCTATCGAATTCTTGTAACCATCTCTCTTCTCTCACTATCTGTCTCTCTAGACCCCTCTATTTCCATTGGGTCAAGTCTTTCAACTCTCTCAAACACCTCTCCCTCTTTCTTGAAAACCCTTTAACTCAATTCAATTCGCTTGATGTCGATGAAATGGATGAAATTCTTGATGTTGAACTGGGCTTAGAGTCTCTCTGTTTATCCGGTATTCAACCGAGGGATTTTGGGCTTAATCTTCTGTGGAGAAACTGTAAGAACATTAAGAAACTTCAGCTGAATAGCTGTGAGAGTCTAGGAGATTACGCCACTTTTTCAGGTTTCATTATGCGTCAAAAGTTTCTTCAAGAAGTGGAATTGAGAACTTGTAGGAGTATTGTTGATGGGGTTTTGATGAGATTGGCTGAGAATTGTGTTTCTTTGGATTTTCTATTGGTTTATGATGGTGGTAGTAGAGAAGGTTTGCATCAATTCATAAGTCAAAGCAAATGTAAATTAAGAAAACTCGATTTTCGGTTGCCTCTTGATCTTGACAATAGTCATTTGATTGCCATAACCGAGAATTTGAATTTTAGGAGTTTGGAGAGTTTAAGGTTGCAAAGTTGCAGTCTTGTTACTGGTGAGGGATTAAAGGTTCTTGGGAGGGTTATGGGCAATGGACTTGAAGAACTTGCATTGATTAATTGTGATGTAGTCGAGAGAGAATTTGGGTTGCTGACCACTCTAGGACAGGATTTGGAGAGGTTGAGGAAGTTGGACTTGTCTTATAATGAAATGTTGCTCGACAGGGAGTTCATATCAATGCTCGTTTCGTGTAATTGCTTGAGTGAATTGAAATTGAGAGGTTGTAATAGATTGAGAAGCTCGTCCGTGAACTCGATGATTAGGAACTGTAAATTGTTGCAGAGCATTGATATATTGGATTGTGGTGGGATCGAGGTTGAAGCAGTCGAATTATTTTTGCTGAATTCTCCGCAGTTGAGAAAGTTTAAAGTCGAGCAAAGCAAAATTTCCAATGTTTCAAGAACATGGTTGACGAATAAATTCATCGAGCTGGTCTGAATCGAAAAGTTGCACATATTCATGGCTGTACCCTAATTGGTACAATGTTCTTGTGGCTTTATTGTTTATATACTATGAAATAAAATGGGAACTTCTTTCGCTGAAAATATTGAATAAAATTTCGTTATGTAACCACGTGTAAATGACTCTAACCTGACAATGTAGTAGTCCTAGGATGTGTATGTTTTCTTGTATGCTTTTTCATACTATGTTATCGAATCGTTAGAGATTTATCACACATTCATTCCATATTTCTTATGATCTTGTTTAACTCTATTCGTAAAATTTGCGCTTTCTTCCATATACCGTGTCGAGTTAATTGTGGATGGAAACCCATACATGTTCGAATTCCATTTTTTTTTTCGCCTTTTTAAATTTGCTATTGCTTCTTCGTGTCCATTGTCTTGTTTCAATACCACACATTCTTCACCAATTAATTATTTCAAAATGCATTCTCACTTAAAAATGAGAAACAAGTAGGGGTTAAAAGTTTGATTTTAATCTACCACAAACATGGTCTAATTTTTGTCGTTAAATTCGTGTTGCTTTGAGGTTTGTCATTTATCCATATGGTAATGAAATTATCGTCATATTGTTCAATAAAGTTGAAGCATTTTTACTTTTTAGACAATGGGATAGTGTCTGATAAGTGCGTTTTTTTGCACTTATTTAATGCACAAACATGACTAAATTACGAGTAAAATATTTAAATTGTGGCTTAAATTCGTTCAATTATTGGATTGTAGGGTATAGTAATGGACATGATGGAATTCACGAGAAAAAGAAGCAAAAAAGATCAAAACAAATCAAAGTGATAGTTCAGAGACCAAAGTGTAAACATCCAAAAGATGAGCCAAAGGAGCAATCGAAAAATTAATAGCGTCAAATACCAATTGGAGGTCAATATGAGGTGATATAACAAAATGGTTGAAGAAAAGAGGTCAATAGATAAGAAGATTTAGTTTGGGGACTAAAACGGCACTAAGTGAAAATTTGTTACACCATGCGACCATATGGTGTTATTTCCATG